TCGGGCTCCACGCAGGGAAGGATACTTAAAGCCAGCATTTTGGACTGGTAGTCAAAGGCTACCACCTCGCCCTGCAGCCGCTGCTCCTGGCACGTCCGGCACGACACCTGGCTCCCAACGCTGAAGTACTCGCCCGGAGGAGCCGCCATCTTGGGAGAGCAGCCGCGGCCGGCGGCGGCGGCGGCAGCAGCGGGCGAAAGCCGGGCCCCCAGTAAGCGCCGCGGCGCGACGCACAGGGCGTGTTGACGTCACACGCCGGGGCGTGGTCTGTCCCTGGGTGGGGCGAGAGCCTAGGTGGAAGAGAAAAGGAAATAAAGGGAAATCTGAATACAGGGATGTTTGTGTAGTTGGGCCCTGGTTGGTTAAGTTCTTGTCAAACCCATATTTAGAAGTTAAGGATAAATGGCCTACATGGGGAGAATAGGGGTAAAACGAAGAAACTGTAGAATCTACTTAGGTTTAATGAAAAAAACTATACAAAATAACGTTTTAGCTGGGCGCTGGTGGCTCACGCCTATAATCCTAGCTACTGGGGCTGGGAAGGTGGCTCAGTGGTAGAGCGCTTGCCTTGCATGCATGAGGCCCTGGTTTGATTCCTCAGCACCACATAAGCAAAAAGAATAAAAGCTGGAAGTGGCGCTGTGGCTCAAGTGGTAGAGTGCTAGCCTTGAGCTGAAGAGCTGAGTGGCAGCGCCCAGGCCCGGAGTTCAGGCCCCACGACCAGACCCCCAAAAAAATAAAATAAAAAAATATAATCCTAGTTACTTAGGAGGCTGAGATCTGAGAATCGCGGTTCAAAGCCAGCTTGGGCAGGAAAGTCTGTGAGACTGTGACCTCTGATAAACTGCCAAAAAGCTGACAATGGAGCTGTGGCTCAGACACAGAAATAAAATAACATTTTATCCTTATTTACATACGAGGAATCAGAGGCCTAGAGGATTTAACGGGACTTACCGCAGATGATTATAACTAATTATAAAGTGGTTATGTAAAGAGCATTGGTCATAGAATTAGATAAACGAAGCTGAAGGTTAGGTCTGTCTGCCATTTGTTAAGTTATATGACTTTCATTAAACTCTATCTCAGCCAGGCGATAGTGGCTCACACCTATATCCTAGTTACTCAGGAGGCTGAGGTCTGAGAATCAAGGTTCAAAGCCAGCTTGGGGAGGAAAGTCCATGAGACTCATCTACAATTACCTCCAGAAAATCAGAAGTGTTGTTGTAGCTCAATATAGTAAAGCACTATCCTTGAACAAAATAGCCCAGGGACAGCACCCAGGCCCTGAGTTCAAGCCACAAGATCAACATTTTTTTTAAATACCTATCAGGATCATGTTTCTTCATTGGCATCTAAGTACTGCTTAAGGAACTTTGATCAAATAACCTTTGAGACTGTTACCCATTTTACAAATGAATAAACTCTTAACTGAACTTTCCTCAGGGACTCACAATGGCAAGACAAAGGTCTTGCTTGTTCCCAAAAGGTGTTTTATCGTATATTAGATAATACTGCTACTTCAGTCAAGTACAATAGGCTCACACCTATAATCCTCTCAAGAGACTAAAGCAATGGGAACTCGGGTTTGAGACCAGCCTTGGGGTGTAGCAAGACTGTCCTTAAAAAAAAAAAAAAAAAGGGGCTGGGAAGGTGGCTCAGTGGTAGAGCACTTGCCTTGCATGCCTGAGGCCCTGGGTTCGATTCCTCAGCACCACATAAGAAAAAAGAAAAAAGCCGGAAGTGGCGCTGTGGCTCAAGTGGTAGAGTGCTAGCCTTGAGCTGAAGAGCTGGGGGACAGCGCCCAGGCCCAGAGTTCAGGCCCCACGACCGGACCCCAAAAAAAAAAAAAACCAAAGCTGGATAATGGTGGCTCAAGTCTGTAATCTTAGCTGCTCAAGAGGCTAAGATCTGAGAATCTTGGATCAAAGACAGCAAGGCAGACAAGTCCTTAAGACACTTATCTCCAATTAACTAGCAAAAAGAAGCCAGAGGTAGTAGAGCACTAGCCTTGAGAGGAAGGGAAAAAAAAAGCTAAGCGAGAACTTGAGACCCTGAGTTTAGGCCCCAGTAGCAGCACTAAATAAGTTAAAAGTAAAATTCTACTCTCTCATCTTACGGTTTGTTTTTTGTTTTCAGAGAAATTTCATGTTTTTCATTCTTGTTCTGGCCACCACAACAAGTCCACTTTTTATATGGTATTGTGATTACAGAAGTTTCCCTCCTTATCTTACAGTGAATTCCTGAAACCGTGAATAGTCCTAATTACTATGTATACTGTTTTTCCTACACATGCATACCTACCATAAAGTTTATAAATTTACCACAGTAAGCTAACAACTAATAAAAATAAAATTATGGCTAGGAAGGTGGAAGTGGTAGAGTGCTTGCCTTGAATGCATGAGGCCCTGGATTCAATTCCTCAGTGCCACATAAGCAGAAAAAGCGGGAAGTGGCGCTGTGGCTCAAGTGGTAGAGCACTAGCTTTGAGCTGAAGAGCTGAGGGACGTGCCCAGGCCCAGAGTTCAGGCCTCACAACAGGCAAATAAATAAATAATAACAGTATGCTGTGATAAAAGCTATGTGAACATAGTCTCAAAATCTTACTGTACTTTCACCTCTTCACTTAAAGGAAACACAGTATGGCTTTTATTTGGCATATATAAATTGCTAACATTACTTTCATAGGGCTTTAGACCATTATTAAACCAAATAAAAAATTACTGGAACACAAACACTGAGATACCAAGACAGCTGATATGATAAGATATACACTAACTGACTAGCCAGGTTATGTAGCATAAGCAGCATGGCTATACAGACAAAACAATAATTTACATCCCAAAGTAGAGAGAGCAGGACAGCCTCTTAGAACTGCATACAATTTGAATCTTTTTTTTTTTGGTCTGGAAGTGGGGCCTGGGCGCTGTCCCTCAGCTCTTCAGTTCAAGGCTAGCGCTCTCGCTCTACCACTTGAGCCATAGCACCACTTCCAGCTTTTTTGTTTTCTGCTTATGTGGTGCCGAGGAATCGAACCCAGGGCTTCATGCATGCAAGGCAAGCGCTCTACCACTGAGCCACCTTCCCAGCCCACAATTTGAATCTTAAGAATTATTTCTGGCTGGGAAGGTGGCTTAGTGTAGAGTGCTTGCCTAGCATGCATGAAGTTTTGGGTTCAATTCCTCAGTAACACACAAACAGAAAAAGTCAGAAGTGGCACTGTGGTTCAAGTGGTAAGAGTGCTAGCCTTGAGTAAAAGAAGCTCAGGGACAGTGCCCAAGCCCTGAGTTAAGCCTCAGGACTGGTCAAAAAATAATAATTACTATTATTATTTCTGAAATTTTCTATTTAGTTTTTTTTTCTTGTCTGAGACTGGGACTTGAACTTGGTACCTGATACTTTGGCTCTGGCTGGCACTCTACCAACTGAGCCACGGTCTCCAACCCCATTTAGTCTTTTCATACTACTATTGACTACAGGTAAGTAAAATCCTGGAGCACAATACCACAGATAAGGAGGAGAAGGAAAAACTATGATGAAAATCTGAGGAATCATTAGGGAAACAGGGCAGCTGTATCCTAGGTAGAGAGAATTGTATGTACCAGGATCTCTAGAAGAACAGACATTGGCAACTTCAACAAATATGATTTTTAAAAATATATTGTAAAGCAGATTTTCAAGGTGTAGCTCAGTAGCAGAGAACTTGCTAGGTCCTTGGTTCCATCACCAGAACCTCAGAAAATTAAAAAAAAAAAAATGTGTGTGTGGAGGAATGCTGGTGAATGTTGAGGCTGGAGCCAGGGCCTAAGTTCAAAGACTAGGTAAGAAGAAGAGGGCCATGGTGGTGCAAGCCTATAATCTCAATACCTGGGAGGCTGAAACAGGAGGATTGCAAACTCAAGGCAGCCTGGAACTATCCAAAGAGATCTTGTCTCAAAAGAAAGAAAAGAAAGAAAGAAAGAAAGAAAGAAAGGAAGGAAGGAAGGAAGGAAGGAAGGAAGGAAGGAAGGAAGGAAGGAAAGAAAGAAAGAAAGAAAGAAAGAAAGAAAGAAAGGGAAGGAAGGAAGGAAGGAGAAAGAAAAAGAAAGTAAGAGAGAGAAAGAAAAGAAAAAGTGACTTTGGTAGTAAGTTTAAACTTTCCCCTTGAAGCAATTAAAATTCAAGAGAAATTAGTGAATGAATCCCTGTCTTTCTAAGAACTCATATTTACAGCTTCATTTTCACCCCTCAACAGAAAACACCAAGAACAAAGTTGCTCAGGGTAAGGAGAAACTCAGGAGCCCCTTTAACAGTTTCTTCACACCTGACCTCAGCGTCTAAGCAGACCTTTTGTCGTGGTACCTGTTCCTCCTTTTCCCATACCAAAACTAAATTTATCTTCCCAGTAGGGTAGCAATGGCAAGAGAATTGAATTCGCCTTCTTTGGGGAATTTGGTCTGTCAGCCTCCAAACCAATAGCAAATAAATTAAGTCACTTTTCGTGGATGAATTTGGAGTTTAACTTCAGGGCCCACTTCATCTCCCTGAAGAAGGTGGGGGGGTGAAGTGTGTGGGGGGGGTAGTCCTAGCCTTCCCACCAAGAGATCTCAGACTGACAGACTGATCAGTGAGTAGCTTCTATGAAAGAAGCGAGGTCCAATCTTGAAGGATACCAGGCCCTGGAGATTATACATCCGCCTTCGCAGCAGCCACAGGACCCGCTCTCGCGCAAATTAATCCGCCCCTGACCCGGAACAGCAGCCGGTTCCTCTACTACGCCGGCTGCCCACGTGCCAGCAACAGCGGCCACGTGGGGGCCCAGAGGAAACGCCTTCGCAAAGGTTTGTCCCCTCTGCCGCCCAGTAGAGGGGGAAAGCCGGAGCGGGGCGCGAGAGGAAACAGGGCAGCCTCGGGCTCGACACGCGCGCGCAGCTGCTGGCCGGGGGCGGGGCGGGGCAGAGGCGGGACTTGGATCCAAACCCCTGGTGGGGAGGGTGGGGCTTGGGGCTAGGAAGGGTGGGCTTTGGAGGGCAGCCGGTAGCCACTCGGAGTTGTCTGGATTCCTCGGCTTCCTCCTGAGAACAGGCCCTCCTCGGCCCTGCCAGCCGCTGGAACGCCATGGAGTCCGCGATGAGTGCGGGCATCGCCATGGCTGAGGCGCTGCAGAACCGGCTGCCCTGGCTGGAGAACGTGTGGCTCTGGGTGACCTTTCTGGGCGATCCTAAGAACCTCTTTCTGTTCTACTTCCCAGTGGCCTACTATGCCTCCCGCCGCGTAGGCATCTCCGTGCTCTGGATCAGCTTCATCACTGAGTGGCTCAACCTCATCTTCAAGTGGTGAGACAGCGAAGCCCTCGGTCATCCTGGTTCCCTACCACTGAAGGCCCTGATCTTTCTCAATAGATGGCTCTAAGGCCATTCTGCCCTTACCCCGTAGGCCAACTGATTTTCTCCATTTGAGACCCAGACTTCACCCATCCTACTCTTTGGACCAGTGTTTGTAACGCTGGCCTCCTCAGAGAAATCACCGAAGGGGTGTGTTTAAATGCCAATCTCCCATCTTCCCTCTGACCTACTGACTTAGAAACTCAAGCCGGGGTTGGCAGTTGGATTTTAACAAGTATCTGTAGTGATTTAAGAAACAGAAAATCCCACTTCTCAAGTCTGTTTTTCATTCATCTATCCTTTTGCTTGACCAGGCATCATACAAACTGCCATGCAAGTTAAGATGTGGTCCCTGATCTATGCCCCAAACAGAATAGGCTGCACTTAAAAGCTTGCTAGATCAGAATCTGTACTTGATCCTCAGGTGATTTTCTGTGCACAGTAACGTTTGAAGAACAGTGGAGGGAAAGCACTGCTTTTTTTCTTTCCCCTCCATTCACAAGTAGGCTCTTCATTCTGAGACTTAAAAGCAAGGCATCTCAGGCAAATGGGTGGAGGCCCTGGGGTTTATCACTTTGTGCCACCTGTTTTCTCTCTTGTGGGTACAGAAGAGAGCCATTAAGTAGGCAGCTTCACCTCCCTTCACCTCAGCCTCTGTTGCCAAGTCCCCAACCTAAAGGGAGGGAGGTTCATAGGAGACATGAATGGGCTACAATGACTTGCTGAAAAATAAGCTAGGAAGTCCTTTACCCTCCTGACTTCTCCACAAGGGCTTCATCCCTATTATAAACAGAAAAGCAGTTAGCCAATCATTTCCTTCTTGCCTAATTGCTGTTTGCTTTGTGCTTAGTGCCTTGGAGACTATAAAAGCTCTCTCCCCCAAGGGTTGGGCACACCTTAGTAGACACTCTCAACTCCCCACCCTACCCTTTCTCAGTGACAAATTGCTTATTCTCTCCCCCCCCCCTTTTTAAATCTCCTGCTGGTACAACAGCTTGAATTGGGCCCTGTCCTCTCACTTGGCTTCTTTGCTCAAGGCTGGTCCTCTACCAATTGAGCTTCACACCTCTATTTTCTCTATTCATTTTCATGATCTGTTTTGTTGTTTTATTTTTTATTTTTATTTTTTGTTGATCATGGGGCCAACAAAACTCTGGGCCTGAGCGCTGACCCTCAGCTCTTCAGCTCAAGGCAAGTGCTCTACCACTGGAGCCACAGTGCCACTTCTGGTTTTCTGAGTGGTTTATTGGAGATAAGAATCTCTTGGACTTCCCTGTCTGGGCTGGCTTTGAACCTCAATCCTCAGATCTCAGCCTCCTGAGTAGCTAGGATTATAGGCACGACCCACCAGCGCCTGGTGGTTTATTTTGTTGTTTTGCTGGTACTACAGTCAGAGCCTCACATTTGGCTAACACCCTACAACTTGAGCTACAGTTCCACTTCTGGCTTTTTGCGGGTTAATTGGAAATAAGAGTCTTATGGACTTTCCTGCCCCCTGTGGCTTTGAACCATGATACCTCAAATCTCAGCCTAAGATAGTAGATTTGGGCCATCAGTTCCCAGCCAGAATCAGTCTTTCTGATGTCACCTCTTAAGACCTTGTCTCAAGTACAATTCTACTGTCCTGAAGCCCCCCCTCCATTGTCATGGCAATGTGTGTATGTGTCATGTCATCTTGAATTTTTTCTCTTCCAGGATTCTGTTTGGAGAGAGGCCCTTTTGGTGGGTTCATGAGTCTGGATATTACAACCAGGCTCCAGTCAAAGTTCACCAGTTCCCTTCTTCTTGTGAAACTGGTCCAGGTGGGAAACCTCCAAGCTCCTTCCTTTATTAGGTAGTTAGGAGTTTGGGTGAGGGTTTCAGAACACTTCATCCAGGGTGGCCCAACCAGAGGCCCAACCTCTCAGTTACTAGCATAGAGAACAAAGCAACTCCAGAAAGACCAGGTTGAGTTATGGGAGGAGGGCATTCATACCAGGTGCTGGCCACCTAGTTGGTATAGGGGAAAGTCAGAGAAAGTGCTAGGCATAAGCCTAAAAGCAATGGTCTCAGGTGGGAGAGAAAAAAGCCTCAAGCAAGAGGAAGCAATGGATGGATCCAGATTGGGCAATCTCAGCCTTGGGGAGGCAGCCATGTGAAAATAATCACTAGGGAAAATTGGCTTCCACCATTCTCACTCCAAGTTTCTGGATTTCTGGGCAGGCAGCCCCTCTGGACACTGCATGATCACAGGAGCAGCCCTCTGGCCCATGATGACAGCCCTTTCTTCCCAGATGGCCACTCGGGCCCACAGGTATGCCTCTGGCATTATTCACTATAGGAGCAGGGGTTAATGACATTCTAGGCCCAAATGATCCTTCAAGCATGACAGCCTAGAAACTAGGGAGCCTGGAGTGCCTGGGGTGTTTGGTTAAACTATAAAATACTTGGGTGCTGAGGAAAACCAAGCTGTAGCTGGACATCCCTTGAATATTCATCTCTCTTCTTTCTAGCCGCTGGTTAAGGGTGATACCTAGCCTGGTTTATTGCACCTTCCTATTGGCGATTGGCATGTCCCGGGTCTTCCTCTTAGCACATTTCCCTCATCAAGTGCTGTCTGGCCTACTAACTGGTGAGGAGCTAGGGCAACAGGGTGGGCCTTTGGTAGTGGGAGAACCATTCTAAAACCTTCCTGTTTTTTCCAGCTTCTGTAAAGCCAACCTCAAGGCCCCAGTATGTCTTAGTTTGTTCTCTTACCAAGCTGGAGGTGGGGTTGTCATTTCCTCAAACTTCTTGAAGCTTCTCTTATCTCATTCTCCTAGGTGCTGTCCTAGGCTGGCTGATGACCCCCCGGGTGCCCATGGAGCGGGAACTAAGCTTCTATGGGCTGACTGCCCTATTTCTCATGCTAGGGGCCAGCCTCATCTATTGGACCCTCTTTACTCTGGGCTTGGATCTTTCTTGGTAAGTCCCACTTTGGAACCTGGGTAGATTTGGGCTTTTCCTACCATTTTTTATTTTTTGCCAATCCTGGGGCTTGAACTCAGGGCCTGCCCACTATCCTTGAGCTTCTTTTGCTCAAGACTAGCATTCTATCACTTGAGCCACAGCACCGCTTGCAGCTTTTTCTGTTTATGTGGTGTTGAGGAATTGAACCCTTCCTGTATGCTAGGCAAGCACTCTGCTGCTAAGCCACATTCCCAGCCTGTCCTACCCAATTCTGTGCCTAGTTGGTGGAGCTCACTCATTAGAACTGAAGACAGGATGTATTACCACATAGACCCTCTTGGGGTTGCAGCACAACAGATGACTAAGAGCTGAGGCCCTCTGGGTTCTAGCCTCTCCTGGCAAGGACTTTCCTTCCCTACAGGTCCATCAACCTAGCATCCAAGTGGTGTGAACGGCCTGAGTGGGTGCTCTTGGATAGCCGGCCCTTTGCTTCCTTGAGTCGTGACTCAGGAACTGCCTTGGGTCTGGGCATTGCCCTGCACTCTCCCTGCTATGCCCAGATACGACGGGTACACCTGAGAAATGGCCAGAAGATAGCCTGTCTTGTGTTGGCCATGATACTGCTGGGCCTCCTGAACTGGCTGGGTCACCCCCCTCAGATCAGCCTCTTTTACATCTTTAATTTCCTCAAGTATACACTCTGGCCATGCCTGGTCCTGGCCCTCGTGCCTTGGGTGGTGCACACATTCAGTGCCCAGGAAGCACCGCCCATCCGTTCTTCATGACTTCCTGTGCCTCCTCCTGCCACTCTCTTCCCTGAGAGCCAATACTCCACAACCTTCACACTCCAGGTGACAGCTGCAACCCGCAAAAGAAGGGTATCTTCCAAGGGGACTCAGTCTCCTGCCTTTCCTCCCAACATGTGAAAAAGCAAAGGCAACAGCAAGACCAGCAGGTTCGTGCAATACTGTGAGGAGTAGGTCGAGGGCCCCAATAAAGTCCTTGAAACTTCTGGATTTCTTTCTTGTTTATGTGTATGTCTCTGCTGACCTTATCTATGTGCATAAAAGTGGAGTTCCTTTGTAGTTCTTCTTTTTTTTTGAGGGGGAGGGGAGGCGGGTCCGGTCCTGGGGCCTGAACTCTGGGCCTGGGCACTGTCCCTTAGCTCTTCAGCTCAAGGCTAGCACTCTACCACTTGAGCCACAGTGCCACTTCCAGCTTTTTTCTTTTTTGCTTATGTGGTGCTGAGGAATCAAATCCAGGGCCTCATGCATGCAAGACAAGCACTCTACCACTGAGCCACCTTCCCAGCCCTGTAGTTCTTCTATGGAGGTCAGGTCTGGCTGTAAACTCAGCTGAGACCTCTCTGCATGGTCCTCTCCTCACACCCCATCACCACTGAGGCCTCTAGGGAGGTCCTATGAGATGCTGTAAATATATTCAATAGAAGTGTGTGTGTGTGTGTGTGTGTGTGTGTGTGTGTGTGTGTGTGTGTGTGTGTGTGTGTGTGTGTGTGTGTGTGTGTGTCCTGGGGCTTGAACTCAGAGCCTGAGCACTGTCCCTGAGTGTTTGTGCTCAAGGCTAGTGCTTTAGTTCTTTGAGCCACAGCACCATTTCTGGCTTTTTTTTTTTTTTTTTTTTTTGCCAGTTTGGGGCTTGAACTCAGGACTCAGGCCCTGGGCACTATCCCTGAGCCCATCTGTGCTCAAGGCTAGTGCTCTACCACTTGAGCCACAGCGCCACTTCTGGCTTTTTCTGTTTTTATGTGGTGCTGAAGAATCAAACCCAGGGCATGCATGCTAGGCAAGTACTCTACCACTAAGCCAGGTTCCCAGCCCATTTCTGGCATTTTGATAATTAATTGGAGCTAAGCGTTTTACACTTTCCTGCCTGGGCTGGCTTTGAATCTTGGTCCTCAGATCTCAGCCTCCAGAGTAGCTAAGTTTACAAGCCTAAGCCACTGATGCCTGGCTTCAGTAGAATTTTGTTGTTGTTGTTGTTGGTCATGGGGCTTGAACTCTGAGCCTGGGCGCTGTTCCTCAGCTCTTCAGCTCAAGGTTAGCCACTTGAGCCACAGTGCCACTTCCAGTTTTCTAGTGGTTTATTGCAGATAAAAAGAGTCTCTCAGGGGCTGGGAAGCTGGCTCAGTGGTAGATGGCTTGCCTGCCATGCATGAGGCCCTGGGTTTGATTCCTCAGTAGCACATAAGCAGAAAAAGCTGGAAGTGATGCAGTGGCTCAAGTGGTAGAGCGCTAGCTTTGAATTGAAGAGCTGAGGGACAGCGCCCAGGCCCCACACTAGCAAAAAAAACAAAAACAAAACAGCCTCACAGACTTTCCTGCCCAGGCTGGCTTTGAACTGATCCTCAGATCTTAGAGTAGCTAGGATTACAGGCGAGGGCCACCCGGCCTGGCTCATCTTTTTTTTTTTTTTTTTTGGGGGGGGGGTCTGGTCGTGGGGCCTGAACTCTGTGCCTGGGCGCTGTCCCTCAGCTCTTCAGCTCAAGGCTAGCACTCTACCACTTGAGCCACAACACCACTTCTGGCTTTTTTCTTATGTGGTGCTGAGGAATCGAACCCAGGGCCTCATGCATGCAAGGCAAGTGCTCTACCACTGAGCCACCTTCCCAGCCCCCGGGCCTGGCTTATCTTTCACCTACAGGACTGAGATCTTCCAGTTGGCTTCTGGCATACCAAACTGCTTTCTAGTCCAAGGCTGAAAAAAAGGCAGATGGTTTGCTTTTGGCTAGAAAGGGGTAAGAACCTATTCCATTTGGGATCCCAGAGAACAGACATCACTAGCCCCAGAAGGCACTGCAAGAAACAAGTTTATTTACACAAGGACACACAGTGTAATGGGTTACAAAATACTTAACTGAGACAAAGCAAGGAGTGGGTTTACACGAGAACCAGACCAGCCACAGATAGAGGAGCCAGAGCCTGGGGCTCAGTGCAGGGAGGCCTGGTACACTGGGCCTAGCCCCATCTCCATCCCCCCAAGAGAATCCAGAACACAACACACAAGCACACAGTGAACCAATGGTGGTGGGACTCTGCCCCTCCCCTGGCTCCCACAACCCTGCTCAGGCCCCCATCTGGATCATAACTATGTAAACAGATTGGTGGGGCCCTGGGGATGGGAGATTACGGATGTGACATCAGGGAGGAATTGGGCCCCTAGGAGCTACTTCACATCTTTGGTTTCCTACAGGCTAGACAGCATTCACTGGAAGCCTGTGGCCCCCAGCCTTGGACATAGGGCTACTAGAAAAAAGGAGAGACAGCACCCAGCCTCTCCTGGTCTTGGACCCCTTAGCCTAGTGGCCAACAAAGATAACCCTGGAGGAAGGGAATCTTTTAGTTGAGGCCAGTTACTGGGTTCTTGGGGTTTGGTTCTGCCTGTTCTAAACCCATCTTTTGCCATCCTCAGGCTTCAAAGCAAAAGGATCCAGGAAGGGAATAACCCAGACCCTTCTGCAGCTAGATAACTAGGAGAAATCTGGTCCTAAACAGTAAGGGGGCTCTCATCAGCCTGGTGCCCTCCTGTAGAAACCACCTTCTCCTCCACCCCAGGTTGTGTCAGCAGAAGGCAGGGAGGGCAAAACTGAAGTGAGAGCGCAGGCCTGCCTCTGGGGATCCATCTAGACCCTCAGAACTTTAAGATCCCATCCCCTCATCCTCTCAGCTGCTGGGAGTGTGAGGCAAGACAACTCTGGTCACAGACCCAAGGCCCTCATCCTTAGCATAGCCTCTGGTGGGTGCTGAGGCCAGAGAGAAGAGGAGTCTGCAGAGATGGTGGGGATAAAAGATGGGAAGGATTGCAGAGTACAGTGTGGGAGCCCACTTCCCTGCCACTGCAGCTTAGGCAGTGGGAAGGGGAGGGGGTGAAATTAAGGCATTCCCCCCCCAAAGTCTGCTAAAGCCAAGGCACCAACCTACTGTTCCCACCTCACTTAGGGGGGCAGGGGGGGCCCAGAACTGGAGGGTACTGTTTGGGCCCCCATGCTCACCTTGAGCTGGCCCAGACTCCAAGGTGGAAAGGACAGAATTTAGGGAAATGGCATAGGGTGCAAAATGGAGGAGGGGCTGGACTGTGAACCTTCACCTCCTACAGAGAGCAACTTCTAGAACTGGGATGTGGGTCATATATGGTCGGGGGGCCTGAGGCAGCTTAGAGGAGCAGAAGGGGCAAGGCTGAGAGACCCACACAGCACGCATTGTTGAATGTGTGACTTTTTGTTTTTAATAGAAAAAATAAACAAAATCACAATGATGAAGCCCAGGATGGGGGCCAGAGTGTCAGAGGGCAGGCTCCTGCTCCATGGGCTCCTCTGCCGGCCTGTGGGGACAAGCACAGGAAGGACACTCAGTGAGAGAGACTAGTGTGGGCCAGAGACAGGAGTGGGAGGTGAGGAGCTTACCTGGGGCTGTGTTCTCGGGCAGCAGCAGCCTGGGCCTGTTCAGCCCCCACTGACAGCAAGGCCATGGCGCTCACAGTCTCGGCCTCCTCAGTCTCACCTGCCTGAGCCTCCCGCAGAGAGCGGCCCAAACCAGCAGCAAACCTCTGCACACAACTCCAGTGTTTGCCTGGGGAAGAAGGACCAGTAGGGAGTCAGGGAGGTGAACACAGCCCCATGTGGTGCTACCAGCCCAGTGGCTCCCATAAGGCAACCGGAGGTCTGAGCCCCTTGGCTTGTTCCCACGCACTCTGGATCTCGATGACTTTCTCAAGTGTGGTCACTGCGTTGACGTTGGGCTTTTGCTGTAAGACTGCCTCATCCAAAGGCTGGAGCTGGAAGGAGAGAGAAGACCAGGATTAGGGGTGAGGATATGGGGTGGTGATACCTGCCCCTTCAACTACCCTCCTTCAGTCAGACATCCTCATGGTGGGCAAGCACAGCCTTTTGAGGGGAGCTCTATTCAGGAAGCCATTCCCAACTATTCTCAGGACCAAGGCACATCTTCCCCAAGGGCCCTTGGAGCTGCTTGGTCCTTCTGGCCCTTCATCCCACCTTTCTCACTGTTGCCCTCACCTCCACGCTGAGCAGAGCTGAAACACAGGCCTCAGAGGCATCACAGATGGCGGTCAAGTCATGGCCTCCCTCCAGGGCCAGCACCACCCGGCCCCCAGCCAGCTTCATCAGCTGCCTGGTCAAGTGGCCAAAACCTTTGCAAATGGGTGAAGAAAGGAGGATAAGATGGTAAATAGTATCAATTCTAGAGATGGTTAGAAAGAAGAAAAAAAAGAAACAAAATTTGATGGCAGATTTAAAGCCAAATATATACATAATAAACACAATGTCAGTAGACTAAATGTGCCATCTGAGGATAAGACAAAGAAATCCAATCACATGCTGTTCTTTCAAAAGCATCTCTAGAATGTCAGGAATCAGCAAACTGCCCCCCTGGCCTCCAGCAGGAGACCCATGCTATGCTACATCGCTTCTGCCTGCTGGCCCCTGGGTCAAGGTTGGCAGAAAAGTTGGGAGAGCCAGCAGGATAACTCCCATGTCCAAGATCTAACCATTCCACATCCCCGCTGCCTCTAACCTCGCTGCTGCACACCTCCCTCAAATGCCCAGCAGACTCACATCTGGCGGTGACAGAATAGCCACCCAGTGGAGACAGATGCCCTTCAACAGCATCAAACCCAGCAGAGACTAGGACCACGTCAGGTGAGAACTCGTGGGCAATGGGCATCACCACTGTCCTGCAAAGGGATGGCCCAAGCTGACGCAGGTAGATGGCCAGGTCAGCCTCACACCACACTGCTCTCCTTTCAGAGATTATACCCTTCCTCCTGCCCCTCCCTTGGCCTTTTTCTCAGTCCCCACCTGAAGGCTGTCAGGTACTCCACGTCTCCGATGGGGGGGTCCACACCTCCTGTCCATGCCACGTTCACATTGTACCCCACACCTGGCCCTCCACCAACCTGGCACCAAGGTAGGGGAGGAGGTTATTTTTACTGCTTGGAGGACCCCAGACATTGTCCCACCTCCACACTCACCTCCAGAGCC